TGAACCCCCCGCCCCCGTCCACCCCAGTGACACACTTCCTTCAACAAGGCCACACGTCCTAATAGTGCCACTCCCTCTGAGCCTATGGGGGCCGTTTTCATCCAAACCACCACAGAGGGATCCCTGTCAGAAATACACTCGGAAGAGGCCTGGGTTCTTGGACAACTGTTTTCTCCCTCAATCCATGGCTTCAGACTTCCCTACCACAGGCTGGGGGTCCCATTCCTCTTCTCCTTCTCTCTGTTTTTGAGGAGCCGAACCCAAGGTCCATCACCTGGGTCTGTCTGTCTATTCACACATCGCTCCTTGCAGAGAGGTCGGGATCTGGTGACTGCCCTCACTTTTGGCAAGGCCACCGTGATGCCGGTGTCGACCTTTTCCACTCTGTCTTTGTGTCACCTGCATATCTACCCTCCTGGAATGCCCCCGCCCCACCCCCTTTGTTTCTTAGCCCTGGACATTGAACACCGCCTTGTCCTTTGCGCCAGGCAAGCACTCGGCCACGAAGCCATATATCACTGGCTTCCTCTTCACTGTTTTCGAGACAGCGTCTTGCTGTGTTATCCAGGGTGGCCTTGAACTTGTGGTCTTCCTTCCTCAGCCAGCTGGGATGACTGGCCTGCACCACCAGGCCGAACTTCCGTTTTTTTCCTGGTGGCATAGCTCGTTGTTAGCAATGTCATAGCATCTTCTCTCCTCCTGTCTGGATGTTCACTGCAACCACCCTGCCTCTTGACTTGCTACTTGCTCTCTGGCTAGCACTCTCCCCGTGGGGTGAAGGCAAATGGCACAGATTCCCACAGTGCACCTCATCGGCCAAATTTCTGTGGCATAAACACTCCCACGGTCAGTTTCAAATCACCACCCTGAACCAGGTGCAGCAGCTCATGCCTGTGACCCTCATACCAGAGGTAGAAACAGGAGGATCAAGCATTTGAGGCCAGCTTTGGCTTCTCAGCAAGTTCAAGGACAAGCCTGAGCCACACGAAGCTCTGTCTGAAAGGATCAGACAATCCCTTCCAAATTGTTAGGAGGATGAATTTGGAAGATCTGAGCCTCAAGAGCCCATCCCAGAGCCACGCCGATTTCCTCCTCCTCCCCAAATGCCCAATTCTCCCTCAGCCCAGGGCCTTTGCATGTGATGCAGCTTCAGCAACTCAGAGGATGGAGCTTTTCTTCTGTCTGCATATCCTCACCCTAGCTTAAGACCTCACACACCCCTCCCTCCAAAGCCTCGGCTAACGCAGCCTAAGGTAGGAGTCCCTGGGCCGTGCTCGCTGAGTCGGGGCTACACCCTTGCCGTGTAGAGGAATCTACTTCTTGGTCTCTCCCATTCTCCGTAAGAGCCACAGGGCAGAGGCTTCTATTGGCTGGTCCTGCTACTATATTTTCAAAGTGAGAGGAAAATAAACTGTGATATCTCATGGCAGAGGGGGTCGAGGGACGATCTCTGTGGAAGAGAGGTACGGTGACCCCACCCCCACCCCCCGCCAGGGTGTTGCTGGTGGAGGTTTTAACCGTCACTTCCGAGATGGACACAGCAGTGTGACACATAAGAGACACACCCTGGGCGTCCCCGCACAGAGCGGCAAAGAAGGGTTCAGCCTGGGTCTGTAACAACAAATTACAAAGCCAGGTCACTCTCCCCAAGGAAGAGGGGGGGATATTCATACGACATTAAAAAGTCATAAACCTGCGACCTTCTCCGAGCAGCGGAACGTAAGAAAACATCCCATTTGCCTTCAAATACGGAATTTAGAATTACAGGCCTCATTAACTCGGAGTTTTGCTTATTTAAAGCAAGCCTTTTAATGAGGCCACTTCTTCAAAGCGTGTGTGCCGAGTCCCACTCCTCCCCAGATCTAAACTAGGACACCGTGGGGGGAGCCGCGTTCTCGGAAGATGCAGGCGGCTCCGCGGCTCCTGTTTGTTCAAGGCCCCAAATAAAGCTGTGGGCTTCAGCCCGCGCCAGGGACCCTGCGGTGCCCGCGCCAGGGACCCTGCAGTGCCCGCTCCCGTGGGGCCACCTCGAGGGTGCCTGCTCCGATTGGATTGCCTGGGAGTGCCCTCTTGGTGACTCTGTAGCTAATCCTCAGCCGTCTCCCAGGATGACAGATCCATCAATCACCCGCTGGTCAATGTGTCAAGTCCGGGCAGGGCAGGGCAAAATGAATTCCAGGTGAGGGGCAGGAGCTTGGCTGAGGTAAAGCCAGAGAGATCACCAAGGGTCTGAAGGACTCACCCCGTGTGTCCTCCAGGCAAAGTGGAGCTCCGGGAAGCAGCTTCCTGGAGCTGGCAGGAACTCCTCGGAGGTCCTCTCTCTCCCAGCGTCCATTTCCTTACATGACGCTGACCTTGGAAATGGAGGTGCCTGTGAGCCTCTGACTCCCTTCTTTCCACAGCTCGGGGAGCTGCAGAGCGCTTACGAAGAGGCCAAGAAGACAGCCCACCAACTGAAGAGGAAGTGCCACCACCTCACCTGGGACCTGGACGACACCCGGGTGCTGCTGGAGAACCAGCAGAGCAGGAACCATGAGCTGGAGAAGAGGCAGAAGAAGTGAGTCATGTCCCACCAGGGAGGGGGTACACTGAGGTCTCTGGGTGCTCTTCCAAAGCCACCCCACTTCTGTCCGGCATCCCTGAGCACTGAGTGCAGACCCTCCTTCCCACCTCCACGTGGAATTCCTGTCAGGTTCTCAAGACTCCAGCCTGGAACTGTTAACCCCGCCTGCCTTGTTCCCGATGGCTCTGTGACCTTGGGGAAATTACTTACCCTCTCTGGGCTCCAGCATCTCCTCTCATCAAGGGGTTTGTTGTGGAGAGTGAGGGTGAGCTAGCGTGATGGGCGAGAGTCCGTGCCTCTCAGGAGACCATATCAATTCATGTCTGTTTCTCTTTCTAGCCGTGGGTGTTTGAGCTGGGCATTCAATGCCTCTGGGCCCCAGATGCCCATCTGTAGATTGGTGTGAGGTCTCTCGCTTGTGCAGAGATCTCTACGACATGCTCTTTCCTGTGCAAATGCTGGCGTAGTTAGGCAATAGAGGAGCCAGGGCACACCCTCCAGCAGCTGCGGCTCTCCATCCTTGAGCTGGGCCGTGTCTGGTCTGGGACTCTCTCCTGGTGAGGGTAAAGGGGTTCAGGAGGGCCTGCCCCCACAGTAGTGAGTCCCTAGGCTGCGAGTGGATGGAATGCTGCCTCTGTGAGGACAGGCATGACGAAATATTGACTTGTGTTCCCAGACGAGCCGGCTTTGGCTTTGCTGAGCAGCGTGGTTTCCACGAGGCTGCAGGCAGGGTCACATACCATGGTACTGTGGATTCTGAACTCTCTGCTTGCTCTCCATCTCCTCTTCCTCATATTCTCCCTCCCCCCCTTCCCTTGAAAATTGCTCAGTAGACCAGGCTGGCCTCGAACTCAGAGACCCACCTCTGGAGTGCTGGGACTAAAGTGTGAGCCACCACACCCAGCTCCACGCTTGCCTCCTGCTTGCGATTATCTGGAGCTCCCTGGGGTGGCATCTTCATCCAAAAATGACCTTCTGCACAGCTTCAACACACTCCCCAAAGGAAGGCTGGCCTCTCCTCACCGATTCTTTGTTCTCTTCTCTTTTCCACACCCACCTGGGCACACGGGCAAGCCCTCACTCTAGCACAGGGAAAACGGCCCCACTTCCCATCAACCACTTGCTACCTGACCTTGTCCAATGCCAAGCACCTCTCTGAGCCACAGAATTACTGGTATCTTCGAGGCCTCCGAGATAGCCACAGGCCACTGGAGAACGGCCCTGACAGGCTGCAGCTATAAGCTGAGCGCCAAACACACCCGCAGCTCCGGGTTTTTCCTAGTTGACAGCTTCTTGGTCTCTCTGACAGAGGGGCACTGGCTTGGGGCACTTGGCTTATGGATTCCCTCACCTCGGGGACTTGCGTGATGCGCCCTGGGAAGGGCCTCATCCCTCATCTTGGCCTTTCTGCTTCTCTCTGAACTAGCCTGCCTGTGGGGTCCACTATCAGCTTTGTCTTAGAAGTGGGGTTTGATGCCTAAGTGCTGCTAACACAGATGGGGCGTGCGGGTAGATGAGCACTTTATAGGGAGCCCACAGGCTGGCTGAAGTCTCGGTTCAGTGAGCATTTTGACCGAACACCTCTAGTGATAGAAAGTTCCAGAAGCCAGAGGCATTCCTGTGTGCCTCTCCAGGGTTGTCTCAACCTCAGGCCCAGCTGCCTCCATCATTCACAGCTCCATCCCCGTCTTGGCTCCTGCGTTCAAGTGGTCCAGAATGGTTCCATCTGGTGCTGGAGCCCTGTTGCCATGGATACCCCCATGCACGGGTCATAAAGCTTCATTCCACGAGCTGATGGAGCTCTGGGAGTGAGCCGTGTGTCGGGTTACTGACCCTGTACTGCCGGAGATTGGGGTCTGAGCAGGCCCATGCTGTGTGGAGTGAAGTGTGTGTGTGTGTGTTCTAGAAGTTGGGGTCTATCGGAGCCTTTCTTTGGCATCAGGTGTCTGGTTAAGACAAGAACTCCTCCGGAACACTGGTCACTCTGTCCTCTGCTGTCTTGCCTCACCTGCCCCAGGGCATGGACAGGTAGATTGGCTATGAGGCTGGGGAAGCTGGGCCCAAGCTCACTTCCGCCACCGTGGGATTTGGGGCTCAACCACCACACCTCTTCAAACTTCTCTTCCTTCTTCACCTGACTGCTCCTCATCCTTCTGAAGCCCCCCACGACCCACTTGCCATGTTGTCTTAAAGACGGCAGAGAGCCCAGCCCAAGGCCCAGGACATTGGAACCACCTGATCACCACCATCCCCTAGATTCAGGGGCAGCAGACCGAGCCTCCGAAATGATGTCACCGACAGCCAATCAGAAAGCTTCTGGGCTGTTCCAGCAGGAGGGCTTTCTAAAGAGAGCTCTGATTGGCTTTCTTGGGAGCCTGGGGCTATGAATGACATCTGGTGTGAGGATCTTATACAGGGAGTCCTTCTTGTCACTAAACGGCCACAGTCCAGGATTGTTGGAGCAGCAGGGCTTCCTGTGTGTGGTTCAGTCACCCCTCGCTGTGGCCTGGCAAAGCTCTCTGGAGGGGGGCTCACCGCTGCTGATGAGGTGGAAAGCCGGGACCAATGAGCCAGTGTGAAGGGCCAGGAAGGCAGCCCCGCGGTAGTCACCTCTGAGGAGGGGAAGGAGGCCCTTCCTTCCTCTCCTGACCTGCAGACCACCTCCTGTTTGCTGCTGCCAGGGCACCCCTCAGGGACAGGAGGCTTGTGAGGGCCTGGCACACCATCTGCAGCCGGTGCTGGCCCCTGTGTCATAGAACAGAAAACAGAGCCATGGGCGTCTACACTGGTCAGGGACGTTCACATGCAAACCCGGCCTGGAGAGGGAAGGGGTGTCCAACGGGGTGGGTTAGCTTCTCTTTCTTTCTCTCTCTCTCTCTCTCTCTCTCTCTCTCTCTCTCTCTCTCTCTCTCTCTTCCTCTCTCTCTCTCTCTCTCCCATATCCTTTCCCTCTCTCTCTCTCCTTCCTCTCTCCTATCTCTCTCCCCCCTCTCTTTCTCTCCTTCCTCTCTCCTGTATCTCTATCTCTCTCCCTCTCTTTCTGTCTCCCTCCTCTCTCCTATATCTCTCTCTCCCTCTCTCCCTCTCTCTCCGCTGTTTCTCCTCCTTTGTCTCCCCTCTCACCCTCTTCTTTTCTAATATCCATCTTCTTTATTATAAACATGTATTATTTAATTTACTCTATATTTAAATATACTTTAAATTTTTTGCCTCTCTGTTTTTATCAGTATTTGGATGGAAATCCTCTAGAAACCTGAAACTCCCTCCATGATGTTCCAGGTTCCCCCCCACCCTCCACCCCAACAACAACCGCACACAAGAAAACCCCATTCATTGCCCACTTCTCATCGCACGCTTCTCAGCACACTCACAACTCTGTTCACACCTGACCCTGCCTCAGTTTCCCCTACCACAGTCCCCTGATGTATCCATTCTGCCTTGAGCAGGTTTGACTTGCAGTTGGCCCAGGCACTGGGGGAGTTGATGTTCGAGAAGACCCTCAGGGAGAAAGTGAACCAGGAGAACAGCGGCGTGCGCTGGGAGCTGGGCCAGCTACAGCAGCAGCTGGAGGTAAACAGGGGGGACCCACGGCTGTCCGGACTCCCTAGAATCCCCAGCATGCACCTGCTGCAGCGGACAGTGGAAGAGAGCCCCTGAGTGGGTGCCATGGTCCACCAGACAGCTGGCACCACTGTTGCCAGCGTGTCCTCATGATGCCCACAAAGGTTATCAGAAGATAATCCTCCACAGCACTGTGCTCCAGCCATAGGCACAGGGTCCCAGGTGCTACCTGGGAGGTCCCAGGGACTCAGCAGAAAATAAAATGGAGTCAGTCACGACCTGGTCCAGGAGCCACGACTGGCCCCAAGCAGTCTCTGATACAGAGGGAGTTTGTGATATCAGCTGCTCCTTATCCTTCAGCTGCTCCTTATCCTTCAGCTGCTCCTTATCCTTCAGTGGCTCCTTTTGACCCCTCAGATGACCCGTGCACTCTCCAGCCAGCCATGCATCCTCTTCATGAGAGACCCTGCAGACTTTGCCCTCGGACCCAGCTTCCTTATTGGACGGGTCACTTCTGGGCCCTCTGCCTCCTTGAGGGTTAACACGGTGCCTGGCTTTCTTTTTCAACAAAACAAACACTTTCCTTACATGCAGTGAGATCCAGCTGCAGGAAAGCTCCTCTCCCTCCATCCACCGGTGTCCCTTGGAGCCTTCTCAAAGCACAGCTGGTGTCCCCAGGGACACTGTGAGGGACCAAGAGTGGAGGAGGGCAAAGTGGGGACCCAAGTGATAGTACAAGCTTGTCATCTCAGCACTGGGGAAACTGAGGCAGGAGGATCCTGAGGTTGAGATCAGCCTGTGCTCCATGGGGAGACCCTGTCTAATGGTGCTGAGCCTGGGATACAGCCAGGCTTGTATGCAGAGGGTGGAGTCCTCCCGAGAGAGGACTGTGGCCGTGTGACTCCATCCCTCGGCCCCTTTCCTTGTAGCAAAAGGAGCAGGAAGCCTCGAAGCTGAAACAGGAGGTGGAGAAGTTACAGGGCCAGAAGCAGGAGCTGCTGGGCTGCGCCTCTGTCGGGGAACAAGGTGTGGCCAGCCTGAAAGAGAGGGTCTGGGAGCTGGAGTCGAACGCCCTTGAGCAAGAGAAGGTTCAGAGCCAGCAGGAAAACACCATTAAGCAGCTGGAGCAGGTAAAGAGACCCTCCCTGTCTCGGGAGATGCTCTGCCCTGGGCTGGGTCCTCCCACAGAATGTCCTCAGGAAAACAACCGGTTTCTAGGTACATGCCCAGCCATGGTGCTTGAGGCAGTTAGGAGACACATGCGTAGCAACAGAAAAAAATCTAAATGCAGTGATGTGAGCCAGAGAAGCACACATTAAAGTAGCTGCTAAGGGCTGGTGTGGTGGCTAACACTTGTCCCCATACTCTCGGAGACTGAGACAGAAGGACCACTGTGAATAACTCCAAGCCAGCCTGGGCTACATAGAGAGTTAGAGGACATTGTGGTATATAATACCAGACCCTGTTCCCACCCCACCCCCCAATAATCCACCACGCAAAAATGGACACCGAGGAGAGATGGGGACAGTGATACACAAGACCCACATCTGTAGCTAGAATTTTCCTGCCTTGCCCACAGTCAGGACAAATCTTTGTCATCTGCCAGTCCCAAGGCCGCTCAGACCCAACCAAGTAAACACAGAGACTTATATTGCTTACAAACTGTATGGCCGTGGCAGGCTTCTTGCTAACTGTTCTTATAGCTTAAATTAATCCATTTCCATAAATCTATACCTTGCCACGTGCCTGGTGGCTTACCGGCGTCTTCACATGCTGCTGGTCATGGCAGCAGCTGGCAGTGTCTCTCTGCCTCAGCCTTCCACTTCCCAGAATTCTCCTCTCTCCTTGTCCCACCTACTTCCTGCCTGGCCACTGGCCAATCAGTGTTTTGTTTATTGACCAATCAGAGCAACAAATTTGCCATACAGACCATCCCACAGCACACATCCTTATTCAATAGTGTCAGCCCTAGAATTCCTGGGGTGCAGAGAGATACTGGGAGTGCGGGAACATGTGTTGTTCTGTCCCTGGGGTAAGAGCCACCCGGTTTTTCAGGGGGAGGGAGGTTCCAGTGTTTAGCTCTAAATTTCTCTTGGAGGGTTGTTGTAATGGACAATTCTGTTTAAACCCTGCCCACTGTGGGAACACGTGCCGGGCGACATGAGGGGCTAGAGCAGATGGACTCTTCATTCCCACTGAAGCCAGGGTGCCATCCGTTGTGTCTTGCTCAGCCTCACAGGTGGGAGACACAGGTGCGAGAAGTGAAGGGTCAGGGTCTGGAGGGCCTCGGAGGCTCATGAGTGACCAGCGAGCTTTCCGTAGCTGGTCGTGTTATTAAACACCTCCTCTGCATCAGACAGCTCACAGATGGAGGAGCAAATCTGGAATCTGGTGCTCTCGGCCTCCCCAAAGCTCAGAGTCCTGCTGGGATCAAATACACCTTGAGCATGTTGATCCAGTCTTGGGAAGGGCGGAGGGAGACAGTCTCACTGGAGGAAGTGAAAGCTGAAAGCTCAGTCAGGATCCGGCTGAACAAGGGTTCCAGGCAAGGTAGACTGCTCCTGCAAAAGCCCAGAGGCCACAGAGTCATGTGACACCCAAGGAGTAGCAACTCAGATGAGCTCCTGAGTCATCTCATTGTCCACAGAATCTCAGGCAAGCCCTGGGGTTTCTAGATGGTTCCCTTCTTTGACGGGAACCTTGCCGATCCTCAAGCCCCAGGTCCAATTGGTAAGATTACAGCAGTCCACGCAGGTGGGACTGCCGAGGCTGGCGGAGCACTGTGTGACAGCCCCAGGTGGTGTCTGCAAGCACAAACAAGCCAGCAGGCATTTGTGAAAATCCTGTTATCATTTCTTGAAGATTCTTCCCAGCACCACTGAGGGTTACAAGTAGAAACAGGAACTGTGACCTTAAGGGTGGAGACGGCACACCTTCCTGGCTCTCCAACCTGAACATAAATGGGAGGGGAAGAGAGGCCAGATGGATGCTGCAGTAGCCCCGGACCCTTGCACAGCACACATCCCCACAGAGGCCAGGCAGATATTTATTGATCTCAATAAGGCACTTTTCCCTGGGAGTTTTATGTTAACTCATATAAGCTTGACATAAATGGTATTGCGGATGTCAGGAGTGCCCAAGAGGCTGGAAAAAATGAAAAAGAAATATTTCCTCACACCGCCCCTCGGCTGGGATCATCCTCCCATAACCTCCATCAATGTTGGGGGAAGGAGCTGCCATCTTGGCTAATTTAATCAGGCTGTGCCAAGGGCTCTGGCCACATTGTCTGTTAGCGCCTTCATGTCTCCAACAGTTTAGGAGTCCAGGTTCGTTCTTCTGTTTCCTGACTGTGTCTCCACATTAGAGACAACAGTTGCAAACCTGTAAAACAGAAGAACTTTAGGTCCCTTGGAGGACATCACAAAGGATTCCGAGGCTGCACCTAAACCCAGTGGGAGAAGGTGATGGACGAGTGTCGCCACGGGAAGGGGCAGAGGTAGTGCTGGGTGTTCGGCTGCTTCTTTTGACATTTCAGGGTAGGAGGGAGGTGACTTCACTCTGAGGCACATATTAGAGAGGAAGGCCAAGGGAGGTGTGGAGGGCTGTGGACAGGCGTGTCAAGGGTGGTGTGGAAGGCTGGGGATGTGGGTGTGAACCTTCATGCTCCATCCTTGCTTGTGTGGAGGGCTGAGGATGGAGGTGCCATGGGGGTGTGTGGAGGGTTGGGGACGCACGTGTGGGCCTTCCTGCTCTATCCTGTCTTGTGGCCCCAGCTTCGCCAGCGGTTTGAGTTGGAGATTGAAAGGATGAAGCAGATGCATCAGAAGGACCGAGAGGACCAGGAGGAAGAGATGGAGGATGTGCGTCAGTCCTGCCAGAAGCGGGTGCGTGAGTTGTGGGCACCGTGTGCCCCGAGGTCCCACTGGGGAGGATGATAGGCCCTGGGGCCTGCCAGCATGCTCTTTCTGTGACCCATGGAGACCTTCATTCCCTGAGGGATTTCAAGGGTCTGGGGCCCAATGTCATAAAGCACAATCACAGAAGCTTCTAGAATTTCAAGCACAGCACAATCTCTGCCGCATGACAGGCTGTGGGTAGAGAAGCTGTGCCCGTAGGGAGCGGCGTTTGGGATTCTCTAGGGGGGCTGCCCTGTGTCCCTCCATTTGACCCGCATTTTTGCTCATGATCCTCAGCATCCTGCACCTGAGAGCCGGGGTCGCTGCTGTCCCCGTCAGTCCATCATCTCCTTCACCATCCCCAGTGCACACACACGATGACAGAGACAGCCTTTCCCTGAAGGCAGCCGCCCTGTCTCCACCCACTCGGCACCCATCAGTCTGTGTCAGCCTTCACATTTTAACAGCAGCTGGCCATCAGTGTCCTCTCCTACTCCATGCCCCCGTTGCTGGACATTTTGCCAGTTTTTATTTCCTTCCTTCAGCAGGACCCGTAGTTAGGGGAGTTTGAGGGCCATTTCCCTTCTCCTCCCCTTTCCCTCCTCCTCCCCTCCTTCATCACACTTGGGGACCACAGGGCAACGCTCTTCACACTTCCCCAGGATGTGCTTGATACGGATATTTTATGATGGGGGGGTATTTTTTCTGAGTAATTTTTCACTCTTATCTTTTAGAAACATGGCAGTATGTTTCTTACGGGTCTTTTAAACTTACGTTATTTATTTATTTGTGTGTGTGTGTGTGTGTGTGTGTGTGTGTGTGTGTGTGTGTGTGTAGACATGCATGCCATGGCACATGTGTGGAAGTCACAGGACAACACATGAGAGCCAGTTTTCTCTCCATGTGGGTCCTGGGGTTGAACTCAGGTCAACACCTCTACCTGCTGAGCCATCTTGCTGACCCAGACTGACTGACTGCATGTCTATCTCAGCTTTTCATGGACAGATCGTTGAGAGCGGATGGAGACTTTTCTCTCCTCGTGACGGACACTGATAATGGCTTCCCTTTGCCTGGCAGCCCTCCTCGGTGTCTCTCCACACCGCAGGAAACAGTTAGTGACCCCAGGGGATGCTGTGGGTGTTTGGTGGCAGAAGGGACACCAGCTCCTCTCAGGAGTGCTTGACTGCTGGTCCGTGACGTGGACCACAGAGGGTTCCCAGCACAAGTGGAGGATGAAGGGGTTTGGGGTCGCCCCTGTGAGCAAGACTCATGGAGAGCCAGCCCGCTTCCGCTGGGGTATTCAAGTAAGGGATGCCCTGTGTGTTGGGTCATAGCTGAGAAATCTGAATGAGTTGCAAATTGAATGAAGTGCTATCAGTCAGATTTCTTAGTTGGGGCTGTTGGAGGAAAACAGTGTACCTGGGGCTGCCTTGAGGGTGTTCACTGAGCACTGATCTGGGACCCGGGGGTTGTCTAAGGACAAAATGCTGGCGTGAGAGGGTCTGGGGAAGGCCATCTTTTGGATGGCCACCTCTCATTGTATCCTGATGTGGGAGTCAAGGGGAGACAAGGAGAAGGGGAAGAGAGGTTGATTTGGATTTTCTGATCCTGTTGGGGGGTTCCACCCTCATAGCCTCCTCTGACCCCAACCCTACCAAACGGCCCCTTCTAAACCCCGTCCCACTAGAGATTAGAGGGAATTCACACAGTCCGTAACACCAGATACTCTCACGTGTAGCTGGGCTGCTGTACTTTTCAGCCTCGTCATGATAGAAAGCCAGGGAGACAGATGTGCATCTTAGCAGGCTGGCTGCCATGTGCTACACAGCCTTCAGTGTTCAGAGTGATAGGGGCGCGGAGATGGCTCAGTGGGTAGTGTGTGCTGGACCTGCGTGAGGACCTGAGTTCAGATCTCCCCTGCCCACTGGACAAAGCTGGGTGTGAGTGGAGCCTCCTTGACTTCAGCTCTGGGGGAAAGACACAAGCCCAGTCAGTCCAGTCAATGGGCAGGCCCAAGATTCAGTGAGAGACCATGTCTCAAAAGTATAATGTGGAGAATGGAATGATAAAAGAAAATACCAAACATCAAATTCTGACCTTCACTGGTGCACACACAGGTCAACATGTACCTGTACACACATGAATAAACACATATACACACATACACAGCATGCTAACGCTAGAAAATATTCAAGCAGTGTCCATGACTACACACTTCACAGTGTAGGGCATGGGGTCCCCTAATCTGGCCAGCTCTCCCTTTTCTTGCCCAGGTCCCAAGCTTTTAGGTTCCTATGCTTTCTTTTGACTTACCCCTCTCACTCACTAGGCAGCCTTCCTTAGAGTATGGCCACAGGCTCCATGTGCCCTCCGCCCAGGACCCTGGCTAGGACTCTGCCCAGGGCTCATTCAAGGGTGCTCACCTCTGTTCCATATGCCCACAGCTCCGTCAGCTGGAGATGCAGTTGGAGCAGGAATATGAGGAAAAGCAGGTGGCCCTCCATGAGAAGCGTGATTTGGAAGGCTTGATTGGAACCCTGTGTGACCAGGTAAGGCACACAGAATGGGGACGTTCGAGGGAATTCGAAACCCACCTCTTGGTTTTATGAGCTGGGCAGGTGCATGAGAAAGCCAGCTGCAGGGCGAGCTTCCTTGTTCATCCCTGTGTCCCCAAAGCGCATTGTTCTCCACCCATCCTTCCTGTCCATGCTCACTGGCTCATCAAAAATCTCTGGAGCCGGTGACCAGCCGAGTTCTTAGAACACACAAAGGAGTAAGCAGAGTAGCCTCAGTTGGGATGGACAGATGAAGCTGTGTGACCTTCAGTGGCTGCTGGGAGTGAGCGGTGGACAGTGCTTGCACTAACAGGGTGGCTATGGATGGCCACCATGCCTACAGCTGATCTAGTAGGGACACGATTTTTCCGGGAAAGTAGCCAGACTGGGAGCCAGGCAGATGTCTCTTCCACCTCTGCTGTCTCTGTCTGTCTGCATTTAGGTGAGCTTGTTAATGGATCTAAGCATGGAGAGCAACAGAGCTCCTTAGGCCTGACCCCGACACTGTCCTGGGGTCCTCGGCATATCCCCGTGGCATTCTGAAAATGATGCTTCTTGTGGCGGGGACAGTCTTACATTGTGGGATGCCGAGCACGCCGGCCACCAGGAGCTGCCTTCAGCACCGGCCCCAGTGTGCCAATCAGAAAAGTCGACAGACCTTTCCGAGTGTCCCTGGACACATCACTCCCTGCCACCTCCCTCCAGAGAGCCACAGCTGTCCACAGCAGCCAGGAGAGCTCAGAGCCCCTCCAGCTGTGCTTAGCGGCAGGGGAGAAGGCCAAGTCCCAGCACCTAGCTGCAGTCCATGACCGCTCGTCAGGTCCCTTGCTTCTGTGTTTTGGGACCATGTGTGCTGAGGAAGAATATTTTGGAGGGAACATGAGGTGCAGCAATGGAGCTCCAAACAGGGTAGCCAGGACTGTGAGAGGAGGAAAAAAGGGGTGCAGACAAGACCTCCAGGACACCCCTCCCCCCAGTATACCACTTCCTCCAACCAGACCCTGCTTCCTAGGTGCCCATTTAGGAAGGGTCCAGTGATGGAGGCTAGCATCCCCAGACCACATCTGAATTGTACCAGCAGCAGCAGGGCATGAGCCTTCTGCACCTGAGCCTCGAGAACCGCTTTGCATCCTAACTACGACACCAGCATTGTGTTAATGCTTTCGTTGTGATCGTTGCCAGACCTACAGAGAAGCAGGCAAACACCATAGGTGGTGTGTGTTCAGTCACGGGATCACATAGACAAGCACACCGCCATGTTGGATGAGCACCTGATTAGGGACGAAATGGTTCCCAACCATCTGGAGGCCTCTTGGTGGCCTCTTCCTTAAACTCCCCAATGAAAAAAGCCTGACACCGAAAAAAGCCTGACACTGGTCCCATGTAGGTACATGAGGTCTTTATTATGCTGTCCCTTGTCCCTCCCATGCTGGTTTTGAGCTCAGTCCACAAGGCTTCCTACAACCAGAATCCAGCCGGGCGGTGGTGGCGCACGCCTTTAATCCCAGCACTCGGGAGGCAGAGCCAGGCGGATCTCTGTGAGTTCGAGGCCAACCTGGGCTATCAAGTGAGTTCCAGGAAAGGCGCAAAGCTACACAGAGAAACCCTGTCTCAAAAAAACCAAAAACAAACAAACAAACAGAATCCAACTGCCTTGCTGCTGTTCTGACCTTATTTTCTGTCCACGTGTGCCCTGTGGTCCACCCCTTCAGAAACAAAACCACAGCCTGATCCTCACTCATGTCTTACCACACGTGGGAGTTGCGTCGTCTCCAGGGTGTGTGGCTGAGATAAAACGGCTCCTGGAGAGGTACAAGTGTAGAATTACTTTCCCCCAAACTGTCTGCCCCCCAAGCCATCCCAGCAGCTTTTGCTGTCTCCTCTGCTGTCTGAGGACCGGCCTTTCCACACCCCACAGCTGTGGCACAGCCAGAGTGTGTACCGTAATTTCCCAGAGCTGACACTTCGGGTTCCTCGTCCCTGGGGAAGCTGTGCGGTTTCCTCTCCATGACTCATCCGATCATGACAATTGGCTTCCGTATTTTCTGGGAATCGTTTCACGATCTGCGTATAAATGCTAATCAGTTTCTGATAATACACGTTTCAATAGCTCTGCCCTGTGGCTAATCCCTACCTTGTTTATAACGTCCCTCAGTTAATAAAGTCTTTAATGCAGCCACATTAACCACATTTATGGCTCAGGCTTTTCTACTTGAAAGCTGCTTTCCTTAATTTCAGCTCGTATGTCTCCATATGTCTTAAAGCTCTAAGCTTCTTTTTATGTTTATGATTAGGTTCTAATCCACCTTACGTGGGTGTGTGGTATGAAGTCGATACCTATGTTTTTCTGCTGTGGCTAACCTTTGTTTCCACCATTCCTTGTGCCGTGGATATGTATAGGTCCCCATTCTCCTCTCTGTCCCTG